TGGGGCAGAGGAAGGGAAGTGCAGAAGGAGGGACACAGGTGGGCAGGGAGGGCAAAGGCCCAGCCAAGTCAGGATATCTCCCGTGCCTTGCCCAGGAGCCTTGAAAAGTCCAGGTACCTGCTGAGTGAAAGAAGACATCTTTATTGCCTGAGCAAGGAGAGAAGGGACAGTCAATAACCGATACTCCTATAAGCCACCAGTCTCGAGTTCACTTCTTCCGAGGCCAGTTTTCACCAAGACGACTGTACTGAGCATCACTCCGATCTCGAAGGGGCTAAGAGATGAGAAGGAGGAACAGTGAGGCAAGGTCAGGACGCTCCTGGGGAGGACCCCAGCAGGCCCCAGAGATGAGTGCTCATGCCTGACCTTTCCAGACCCCCAGTAATGAATTCCCCACTAGGACCCTTCATACATACACATAACACCTAGTGTCAGCCTCTCCATCCCCTCTCACTCCTCCTCCCATTCTTGTCTCTTTTCCCTCCTGGCTCACCTGATAGAGCTGGTCATTCCTCAACAGAGCTTGAGCATCAGCAGCTAGAAGAACCAGGGAAAGAGAATCATCAAGGGCCTGGGAGGATGGGACAGTGGGATCCCATGAAGACTGCAGCAGGACTGCAGCTGGTTGCACCCTCAGAAGTAAGCATGAGCAATATGGGCACCCAAGTGCTTTCAATAACCACTTGAAGGGTCCTTAGAAGGTTGCAAGAGTGACTCCCAGATGAGACACGGTCCACTGCCAGTCCCATTCCTTAGGAGGTGCACACTCACACCTACACCCATACCCAGAACACTTGTGTGCGTGCATGCACACACACACACACTGTGTCCCTTCCACTTACCCCTCGGGAGCCTTCCAGTCTCATGTCCAGCAAAGCAGTAGACTCCCAAAGCAAGGAGCAGAGTGGCAATGATGTCAGTGATGACAATGCCAGCCAGGGTGGCTGAGTCCAGCTCCACACAGTTTTGGCACACTGTGAGGGAATGGAGGCAAGAGGAGAGATGGAGAGCCCTCAAGATCAGGGAACCCTCTCTGCCCCCAGGGCACCCCAGGATCTCTCATGCCAAGACCCAAACTTCAGTAAGATCAGGAAAAAGTCCTGCTGATGGTCTTGTTACATCCACCTCTACCCTTCATTCTGAGGAATCTCTGAGGAGAGCCAAGAAGTAGTCTCAGCTTTATAGGAACTTATATAAGGCAGTAGGCCAAACTACTCTCCCAAGAAAGCCCCTACTGCTTGGATCAAAAGGTCCTTCATGTTCTTTCTCTGTTAGTTAAGCTCTCTCCCACTCTAAGGGCTCCAAAATCTGGCTCATATCATCACAAGAGTGACCCCATTATAAGAGAACAGATTGGTCCACCACAGCCCCCTCCAGCTAGAAAGTTCTCACATCCAGAGACCCCATCCATTCCAACTCAAAGGGTTCAGGGGGCACATACTTCGATAATATACTTGCAGAGAGGAGTTTTCCTTGGCATCACCGCACATATATGTTCCCCGTGGGTCCAGGATGCGTTTTCCCAAGTCCAGCCCTCCTTTGTATGGTGTTCCCATCGTTCCCTCTACCTGCATGATGCTGCTATTGCACTTCAAAATCAGTCTCTCCTCAATTTCGTCCATGTCTATCTTGAAAAGGCTCACTAAGGAAAAAAAAATGCTACAATTGGAGCCAGCTCTGTGGTCTGCACTAGACCCCTTGTTCTGCTGAGGTTCATACTTAAGAAAGATCACTCCAAGTCTAGGATAGTTGATGGTTTCTAGTGAGAAAGAAGTCATAAGAGAAAGGCTTCAGAAGGTTCCCAAGAACTGCAGGGCCCGGGAAGTACACAAGGACGCAGTCCAAGCAGAGAACAGGCCCTGATGGACACAGAGCAAAAGAGGAAACCATGGAGCTGGGTTGATCCAAGAACCTTCCCAGAAATGAGTTCAGACCACAGATTAAAAGTACGAGGGGAGACACCCAAGAGATACGGAAAGGCAGAAGAATGTTCCTCGGTTGGAGATGTCCACATTTTTTCTCTAAGAAAACTTCTAATTCTACTTCCCAGCCACCTACAACACTCCCACTTAACTTCCTACCCTCTTCCTTCCCCCTGTGTCCCTCCCCAACAACTACCAAGGGAATGAGACTCTCACTATTAAAGCCTTTCCCAGGGCCAATGATGGTTGGGGGTAGGGGAGAAACTGGTACGAATTAGCAGCCCGGTGGTCCAGAAGGGGACTCAGGGCAATTCCTATGTAAAAATTTTTAGTTGTGCTACCTTTACTAGGGGGAGGGGGACAGAAAAAAATTTTTTATTGAATCCATTCTTGGGGCTCCACACAAGTCAAGTCTTGTGGGGAGTTTAAGGGCTAGAGGTATGCACAGAATCTTTCTAAATCCACTGAATAGCTTCAACTGAGAGCATCTCCACAGCCCACGGAGGCACTGTAGTCTGTAACTCCAATCCCGGGGAAAAGTGGAATCCACAGTCTCCCTGAGCTTCATACTCAGTTACCAATCTGGATACAAGAACATCCTCTAGAAAACCCCCAAAAGAGCTGTTTCTCGTGCCTCTGAAGCAGGTCAGGAGGATAGGTGTGTATACTCATGGAGACACATGTACATCAGATATTATACATCCTACAGTCATGCCTTCCTTGGGGATCTATTTCCAATGGAAATCTTGGATGTTACAAAGCAGCTGACTGCTAGGGTAACCATTCATCCCAGCTTGCCTTGGATTGAGGGGGTTCCTGGGACAATCAGTTTTAAAACAGGCAAACCAAGATGAGGTCATCCTGCTTCCCACAATCTGCCCTCCCTCCTGCTCAACCTAATGTTAACTTTTCTCTTAAAGCATTCCCGAGTGCTGGGGCATGGCTCCATGTGGTGACGTCATGATGGCCAAATGACTAAGAGTCCTGGATCCCAGAGGCTGTCTTCCCCAGAAGGAACAACGCTCCCATTACCAGCCCTAGGCTCGGGCACGCACATACCGCCATGTTGCCTACAGACCTCTGGCCTAAGTCCTACAGAGAGACATTCAAAACCAAGGTGCACCCCTAGCTGGAGTCAAAGCCAAGAGCCTGTTTCCCAGACCCTGTGCTACATCTCAACTCTGCCCTCCTTGACAACCCTGCCTGGTGAATCGAAACTAGCATTGAGAAGGACTTTCAAGTGGACCTCACTCCAGGTGGTAATGTCCCTCTCAGGTCCCTTCTCCAACATGCCCCCACCCACCTGGAGAAGCCTTACCTTGGGAGAGAAGGGCAGCCAATATCAAACTACCCAGAAATCTGCAGTGTTCCATCTTCCAGGAGAATTCATCCAGCAGATAGACTCAGATCACAGAACTATCAGCCAGAGTGAGAGCTGTGCTCCCCCAACTGACTTACGGGTACCGGAAAAAGTAGAGAATGGGGGAGGAACAAGGAGACGCCTATTTCTCGGCTCTCTGCTGTTGATGATGGGAGACTGTCAGAATAGGGGTAGGCTGGGGGTGGGGTAGGAAGTAAACAGGTGCAAACTGCTCTTTTTCTGAGCAAGGAGCTTGCTCAGAGACAGGGAGAACAGAGAACATGCAAAAGGTTGCCTGGGCTTCTAGGAAGTAAAAGGGGATTTAAGATGTCCTTTTCTGAGTTACTGATGACAAACAAGAACTTCAGAGCTCCGGTCAACAACACAACTACATTACTCACCACCTAAAAGCCTGCATCTCTCTGGGCCAGCCCGGTGGCATAGCAGTTGGGTTCACGCGCTCCACTTCGGCAGCCCAGAGTTTGCCAGTTAGGATCCCCGGCATGGACCTATGTACCACTTATCAAGCCATGCTGTGGCAGGCATCCCACATATAAAGTAGAGGAAGATGGGCATGGATGTTAGCTCAGGGCTAATCTTTCTCAAAAAAAAAGGCATCTTTCAAAATCCTTGAGGGAAGTTGTGAGCTCCATCCCATGAGCCATACCAACTAGGTTCCTCCCATGCCTAGTCTTTCTTGGAACCCTACCCAAGATCGTCCTTGGGCAGCCTGGGACACCAGACTAAGTGGGAGGGTGAGGTTTGGAGCCTCCTAGTCAGAGATATGAATCCTGGCTGCAGTACTGCCTATCTGCTGGGCCTGGGCCAGTCACGGAATTTTTCAGAGCCTAATTCCCTCAGTATCATGATAAGCATTCAAACAAAATGTTTGCATGGTGCCTGACACATCATATGTGCTCAATAGGAGACAGTTACGATAACAATATCATTGACTCTCAGGCAGAATTGAGCCTCTCCAGGAGACAAATGGACTTTTTCTCCTGTGGTCTGTGGAGATCCGAAACGCTCTACACCGCTGCAGTTGGACTGTAATTTACCTGAGGGCAGAGATCATGTAAGTCTTGCTCCCTTCTGCATCTCCAACACCTGACTTGTGCCTGGCACATAACGAGAGCTCTGGACATTTTTGTTGACTCACTGACTGACTGGCTGAGGGAGACAGGGGCCTGAGATCCTGGTAACTCAGCTCAGTCCCTGGTCCCTGGAAATGTATGGCCTATCTTGTTGGAATTGGCCTACTTATTCCCTTCCAGGCAGGCACTTCTTTGATCTCATCTCAAAAGAGCAGTGAAAAATTCCTGAATGATGGTTTAGACTGAGGGGACTTTCTATTCAAAGCTCCAGCCCTGAGCATAAGAGAGTTCCTGCCTAAATTCACTAGTTCTAGCAAAAACAACTAGCAACAAGCAACAACTGGCTGAGATCCTAGCAACAAGTGGTGGCAGAGACATTTATCTCCTCATGAAGAAAGGGGCCCAGGCCATCTCCTACCCAGCACCCAAGGTGGTTTTCTGCAAGCTGAGTCTCTGACATGGGAATCCAGCACTCTCTCCCTCTCCCTTCCTGCCACCACACACCCTCCACTCCTTAACGGAAAAGCAAAAGACAGCTGCACCTGCAGCCCTGCTCCTCCCCCTACCCCCACCCCACTGCCTGCACTTGAAGCAGAGGGTGGAGGCTCTAGGTTCTTGCCCTCTCGCTGGGGCCCCAGCCAGAAGGATACTGGGCGGAGCCAGGCTAGCTGCTGTGAAGGGTGGCTGACTGCTAGGGGCTGCTCAGTCTGTCCTGCCGGGGAATGACAGAGACCAACATGGAGCAGGGGAAGCATCTGGCTGGCCTCATCCTGGCTATCACTCTTCTTCAAGGTAAGGGCCCATTAGGGGAGCTGGTAGCCTGGAAAAGGAGTCAAAGGAAGAAGCCATCATTAGGAGGACAAGAATATTGGGATCCCTAACCTCAAGCCTACCTCAGCTGTCACCCTAGGGTTCAGAGAAGGAAGGGCAAAAATGAAGCCTTTTACTATTCTCCACTAGAGAGAAGCAGTGTTCCATGACAGAGATGGGGCCCTGGTCTCTTAAGAAACCAAAACAGAGGACTTCACTGGCTAGAGAGAGAACCCGGATGCCGCCATCTTAGGTTCGAATGTAGCCCAAAGGGGCCCAGGCCAGGAACTTGAAAAGAAAAGGTATATGTTCCTTAACTCAGAGCTTGGGTTAGGAGTAGACCTATGAAACATTCACTCACTCACTTGGTCATTTGGTCAACAAATATGGGTGAGATTCTATTAGGCGACAGGCTAGGAGGATATAAAGATGAATAAAACCTTCTTCCCTAAGGAGCTTATAGTCTAATTGGAGAGATAAATTTCAATGTTGCCTGATTGAGTGCAATATATGGTGCCTGGACAAATATTCAGTTGGAAATATACAACAGAAAGTGGATGAACTGGGCCGATGCCTTGAGTCTGGACTGGAGATGATTTTCCACACATTGGGGCAAGGTAAAACCATGCAAGTTGTTGAAATCACACAACTATTTTGTGAGACATGAGGCGGAGGGGGCTGAGGATGGAATTGTGAGGACACCAGCCTTTAAGGGGCAGTTAGAGAAAAAACATCTCAAGAAAGAGATAAGGGGATGGTCAAGGAGCTGGAGTAATCAGATGAATGCAATACCATGGAAACCAAGGGACTAGAGAGCTTCCAGAAGGAGAGTCACCAAGAGTATGAAATATTAGAGAGGTCCATTGATACAAGAATATAGTTAAAAGTTTAAGTCTGTGGAATTCGGCAAAATAAAGGTCACGGATGATATAGAACAGTTTCAGTGAAGTAGTGTGAATGGGAGCCAAGTGGAAATGAGTAGAAGGTGAAGGGCAGGTGATAAGGAGCAGCAAGGGTAGACTATTCATCAAAGAAGTTTGGACAAGAAGGGAGGAGAGTTCGAGTGGTAGGTAGAGGGGGAAATAGAGTCTAAGAAGAAATTTTTTTGAGTATGAGAAAAGCTTGAGCACATTTCTAGACTAAAGGAGAAGATAGTGAGTAGAACAAGGTTCTGGAGTTGATGTTGAAAGGATGGAGTCAAAAATGGGGTCAAGGACATAGAGGGGAAGGCAATTTTACCCTGTGGGACTAGAAGAAAGGAAGCGCAGATGGCTTTGGCCATAGACAGGCTTGTAGATGGAAAGGAAGCTGAAGAAGGGGCCATAACAGCATACATGTTCTCAACTAACTAAGTGGGAGACTATGCCACCTGCTGAAACTGAGCTGAGTGAAGATTGAGTGGGGAGCTTGAAGAGGACAGTGAGAGTTTAGAATTATTTCTGAGGGGAATGGAGAAGAGCCAGCTAAAGACAACACTGTGGGGGCAGTGCTGAAAGCCTTCGTGAGGCAGATAGACAGATCAGAAAGAGCACTGGGCTGAGCAATAGAATCCTGAGCTCCGGGTCCAGCTCAGCCATCAATGAGCAGTGTGAACTTGGACAATGCCTCCTTCTTCTGGTCTCAGTTCCTTCACCAGTCAACCTAGGAAATTGGGCTACACAACCTTTCAAGTCCTGAAAGGAAATAGGACTCACATAAGCAAAATTAAAAGATGTTGGCAATTAGTTGGACCCTCTCTCCTATGGAATCTGAGTTAGAATGAAGGGCCTCTTTGTCCCTCCCATGGTGACCAGCTGGTCAGGGAGAGGAGCTAGTGAGAAATCTGCTTTACTGTTCTTCTTGCTTTTTTAAAAAAAATTCACTTATTTATTCATTCATGCATTCATTCAACAAATATTAGCTCCTACCATGTTCCAAGCACTGTGCTGGGTAATATTCATAAACAGTTCTGTCCTGCATGAAGTTCTAAGACAGTTGACTCCATCCAACTCATTCCATCGTACTTTGATGCCCACAGAGACGCCTCATCTCTCCCCATCACACACTCTACCTCTAGCCACACTACCTCTCTTGGCCTTTTCCAAGTCTGTATCTTTGTTCAGGTATTCTTTCTCCCCAGAATGCCTTTCTTTGTCTAGTGAATTCCTACTTAATCTTCAAGGCCCCGGTAAAAGTCACCTTCTCTGTTAAGCTTTCCCTGTCCCTCACCCTTGGGAAAAATCAAATAGCTTCTATTCCCTTTCATATATATTCACATAAGTACCAAATGGTAATTTATAACATCTATTACATTAATTACATATGTGTTTGTTTTTTCCACTTCATTGTAAACTCTTTGGAAGCAGCAACTAGTTCTTGTATCACCACCCTTTTCTTTCACACTGCTTAGTCATGTCAGGTACATAATAGCGCTCAGAAAATGTTTGGATTAAACCTAATTGTATGGAATTCTGGTGCTAGTTCTCTGTAGTATGTCTACCATGCAACTCTACTACTTTGAGTTTTGAGACATATTGGAGGGCTATTGAATAGCTAACTCCCCTGGGACATCGACAGTTTCTACAAGAAATAGATCATCAAGGCTGAAGATTTTAGAAGTTAACTCAGCTCTGAAAGGCTTTAGCTAGTGCACACCCACTCTTTGTTAGGGCTAATCCGCTAAAGGAACAGAGCATTCCAAACTGTACAGGCAATATCCTTACATATACCACAACATAATTCTGATGCTGACCCTCCAGAGTTAGCATCAGACCCACAGGTTAAGGACACAGCCCCCAACAAGACTGCCCTCATTTGAAATATCAGGCACAAGTTCAGGGGTCCCCAGATCACCCACACTTCTGATGAACTGGCACAAATCTGGAGGGTTCCCACAACCTCCGCCTCAGGTTTGATCATTTCCTGGAACAACTCACAGAACTTAGGAAAGCGCTATACTTACTATTACATTTTTATTATAAAAAATAAAATCAGGACTAGACAAGTGATGAGATACTCATAGGGTGAGGTCTGCGAGAGTGTTGAACACAGGGCTTCCATGCCCTCTCCCTGTGGAATCAGAACACATCGCCCTCCTGGCACTTTGATGTGTTCACCAACCAGGAAGCTCCACTGAGCTTTTATTGGGGTTTCATTACATAGGCATGATTGACTGAATCCTTGGCCAGGTGACTGAACTCAGTGTCCAGCCCCCCTCCCTTCTCAGTCCCAATTCTCTAATCATATGGTTGGTCTTGACCAGCCTCATCTTGAGTCAACTCCATTGCATAAACTCTGGTGTGGTTCAAGGGCCCACCAAGAAAAACGAAAATACTCCTATCATTCATGAAATTCCAAGGGTTAAACCCCCTCCCTGGAACCCAGGACAAAGATCAGACAAAGTCTTTATTATACGACACCCTGAATTGAATTTGGTTGATTTAGGCTACAATCCAGGGAGTAGGTATAAATACTGTCATTCGTGTGAATTAGAATCTTTCTCCATCTTGGCCTCAAACCACTAAGGAAATGATACCTCAGGGCATCCGAATAACTCCATGCCCAGCTGATCTTCTGTCTCTCTTCTGTCTCTCCAGGTACCATGGTCCAGTCGCAACAAGGTAGGAGAAATAACTCCTTACTATCTTCAGACTCTAAGGAAATTCATGGATATATGGCTTCCTACAACAGTAGTCCGATAGCAGCGAGTGAACGGCTTAGAAGGGATGGGAAGATGATACACAGCTAACCTCTCCATTGTCAACCAAATCAGTGGCCAGTCATGACCTTTCTGGGCAGCTTTCCTGTAGCTGAGCAATTAATTGTCTGGTTCTTGGAGGAGAAACAGGACCCTAGCAGCTAGGCACTACTTGAAGTGAAACCTATGAACCAACAGCATTGGCATCACCTGGGAGCATGTTAGAAGTGTAGAATTTCAGCCCCTATGAGAACTACTGAGCAGAACCTGAAATTCAAAATAGATCCTCATGTGATTCGTATGCACATTAGTGTCTGAGAAGCACTGCTGTGATGGTCTTCTCCTGATACCCTGGGGCAGGGAGAATTTCAGAGGCAAGATCCTTAACAGACCATGGTTTTTCCCTTTTCAGAACAACATTTGATGAAAGTGGATGACAATCAAGAAGATGGTTCAGTACTTCTGATTTGTGGCTCAAAAAATGAAGAAGTCACATGGTTTAAAGATGGGGTGAACATAAGTGGAAGAGAAACTACACGGAATCTGGGAAATCGTATGACGGACCCTCAAGGGATGTACATGTGTCAAGGAAGAGTGCGAAATTCAAGTCTCCAAGTGCATTATAGAAGTATGTAATCCTCTTTGGTTTGCTTGTTGTGAAATTAAGCAGAACTTGCTGTTCTGGAGAGCTTCCTGTCCAGGGTGAGTGTGGAAATAGATGCTAAACAGGGATATAAGAGCCAATTCTTCCTCTTTGTGAATTTAACAAGATGGTTCCCTCAGCTTCTTGAAAAAGCATAGCTAGTCCCGTTAAGCCTGCTTTACAATTGGGTGGGCCCCATGGATTAAAGAAGTCAGCAATTTATATAAACTGAGTTGAGGTAGGTAGCAGCAACAGGGGAGATTCCAAGGTGAGCAGCAGTAAAGTAGAAGGCAGTTGAGCACAGAGAAAGGAGTCTGATCTCCCTTCTATTTCATGTAGTTCCTGGTGGTAAGATTACGTGGGGTTCCACAGGATTCCTGGGGGCGAGAAGCTTTGAGTTCTTAGTCCAAGGATCTTCCAAGGCAATTCCCTTGCCAACCACCCAAAGAGAGAGCAGGCTGCTACCTTAGACAGAGGCATTATCACTGGTAGGCTGGAGAAAAAGATCCATAAGAACAGCTTTCACACCCTAAAGGAGGCTTGTCCCTTCTTTTTCCCACAGTGTGTCAGAACTGCATTGAGCTGAATGCAGCCACTGTGTTGGGCTTTATCTTCGCTGAAATCATTAGCTTTTTCTTCCTGGCTGTTGGGGTCTACTTCATTGCTGGACAAGATGGAGTTCGCCAGTCAAGAGGTAAAAGAATGTTCTTAGGGTCCAGCCCAGTGGCGCAGCGGTTCAGTGCGCACGTTCCGCTTCAGCAGCCCAGGGTTCCCCAGTTTGGATCCTGGGTGTGGACATGGCACCACTTGGCACACCATGCTGTGGTAGGCGTCCCACATATAAAGTAGAGGAAGATGGGCACAGGATGTTAGCTCAGGGCCAGTCTTCCTCAGCAAAAAGAGGACGATTGGCAGCAGTTACCTCAGGGCTAATCTTCCTCAAAAAAAAAAAAAAGTTTTTAGATGAGAGATGAGACCGCCTAAGACCCTCAGCTTCCTTCCCACCAAAATAGACCCAATAGACAAGACTGAGTTGACCCAAGTTGCTAATGTTCATGGTTGGACGAGGCTCTGTCTCTCTAGGCAGGAAAAAAGGTCACCTTGTGTTTTCACAGGATATTTACCTGTCTCAAGATCCAACTCCTTCTGATTTGTCCACTGTAGTTTTAAAAGCTCTTTATGAAAGTAAAACCTACATAAGGAAAAGTGAATCACAAGCACACAGCTCAAAAAAATTTAACAAAGCCAAAACACCCATGAACCCAGAACCCAGTTTAAGAAAGGAAATATTACCCACACCTTAGAAATCTCCCTTGTGGTCACTTCCAGCCTCTACCTATTCCCAAAAGTGAGGACTATCCTGACTTGTAACAATGTTGATTAATCTTGCCTGGTTTTTTCCTTATGTAAATAGATTCATACATTAAGTACTCATGCGTGGCTTTTTTTACTCAACAATATGCTTGCAAGATCTATCCATAGTGTCATAGTGTAGATGTTTTCCACTAATTCTTATTGCTATTTAGTACTCCATTGTGTGAATATAACCCAATTTATTATCCATTCTACCTTGGATATGTGTTTATTTTTTGTGCAGCTTCAGACAAGCAGACTCTGTTGTCCAATGACCAGCTCTACCAGGTAAGGGAATGAGGAATGAAAGAGACATTGCTACCATCAGTGGTGGTAAAATTTGGGGAATTGCCGGGGGGTGGGGGGAGTTATCTCAAAGATACTATACAGATAAGAAACTGCTTAACTAGGGAATACCAGATGATAGGATAGTTATCCTTTTGGGTACAATGGACAAAATAAAGAGAAGGGTTGAGAGAGGTTGAGGTCAGGATCTAGTGAGAAAAAGTTGAAGGACACACTGAGAGGGACACACAAAGAAACTATACACAGAACGTCCATCTCTTTGTCCTTTTTCTGCCCCCAAGACTATGAAGCACCCACTCCAAAGCCTTGCACATAGAAGGCACTCAATAAATATGCATCAAATTAATTCATACATAGAGGATGGGCGAAAATGAGCTTATGACTGTGCTGTCCTTTTTAGCCCCTGAAGGATCGGGAAGATGACCATTACAGCCACCTCCAAGGAAACCAGCAGAGGAAGAAGTGAGCTCAAGACTCAGAGCAGGTGTGTCCCTCTACAGCAATTCTAAGAAAGCACCTTCGCGTTACCTGCCCTCCCAACTGCTGCCGAGTCTATCTCCTTTCCTCAAGCAGCTATAAGGATCAGACTAAGAGGTGGGATTGATTGTGAAGGCCAGTTTCTAAAAGCACTGAAGCCAGGGCTGATTTTCTTGGTGTAAGAAAATATGAAGGCTGTGTGCATCTGGAAAGCCTCTCAGAACAGGGCCTCAAGTAATACAGATGCTGAATATTAATCCTAATCTATATCAGGGTTCCTCAACATCCATATTATTAACATTTTGGCCTAGATAATTCTCTGTGGTGGGGGAACTGTCCTGCGTTGGAGGGTTTTAGCAGCACCCCTGGTCTCTGCACCAGATGCCAGTAGTACTTCCCACTTTTGACTACCAAAAATATCCCCAAATATTGCAAGTGTCCCCTCAGGGGCAAAATTGCCCTTAATTAAGAACCACTGACCTACATTAACCTTTCAATCAACCAATCAATCAATCAGAAGTTTCAATCAGGAAAATGGAGTACAAGCATTATTTGGTTTTCTGAACCAATTGCAATTTTTCTTTTTTCAGTCCAGGTGTTCTCCCTTCTGTCCAGTTCTCAGAAACAAAGCAGTACGTTTTGGAGTGCTCCGAGCCGAGAGACTTTCAGCCCTAAATCTAGACTCAAGGTCCCCAGAGGTGACAAATGGAGAAGAAAGTCCATCAGACCAAATTTGGGCTTTTCTCAAAATAAAATAAAAATAATGTAAAAACATGTGTGGTGTTTCAGGAGCGCCACCTATTGGGAGGTAATTTTTCTGTAAAAGAAAAAAGAAAAGGTCAAATAACCCCCTCTATTTGAATATAACTTTTTGTCTTAATTTTTATTTAGTTTTCGTGTAGGTCATAATTCACATGGTTCAAATATGCAGTGACAGGTCTCCTTCCAACTCCATTACCAGCCACCCATTTGCCCTCTCCAGGGGCAAGCAGCAGACAAGTTTCCCACACACCCTTATAAGAGAATAAGGTATTCTGTATCCGAGGTATTCTAGGCAAACATAAGCAAATTCTTGAGAACACATTGTTTTCTCTTCCCCTATTTTTCACACAAATGGTATCATACTATACATCTTTCACTTTTCACCTAATAAAACCTGAAGATTATTTCATACCAGTATATAAAAGAGCTCCTTTTTTCTTTTTTAATGCAGCAACATTGTACAGATACTCTATAATTAATTTAATAGTCCTCTATTGATGGACATTTACGTTTGTTCCAATATTTTGCTCTGACAATGCTTCAATGACTAACATTGTACGTATAAATGTCATTTTTTAAAATAATTGTATTGAGGTATAATTTCAATGCTATAAAATTCACTCTTTTTAAGTAATTTCACCTGTCCTCAGTAGTATTTAGTAAATTTACCAAGTTGTACTGCTATCACCATAATCCAGTTTTAGAACATTTCCATCACTGTCTTAATATCCCTTGAGCTGTTTCCAGTCCCTCCCTGTTCCCACCCGCAGCCCCAGGCAACCAATAATCTCTTTTCTGTCTCTTTAGATTTGCCTTTTCTGGATATTTTATATAAATGGAATCATACAATATCTGCTCTGGACAGCTCATGCAAATCTTTGCGTGGACATATGTTTTCACACCTCTTGGGTTGATACCTAGGAGTGAAAATTGCTGGGTTGTATGGTAAATTTATATTTAACTTTTCAAGAAACTGCCAAACTTTTCCAAACTGGTCGTTCCATTTTACATTCCCACTAGCAATGGATGAGGCTTCCAGTTTCTCCACATCCTTCCCAATATTTGCAACTATCTTTTTTAGTATAGCCATTCTAGTGAAGATAAAATGGTATCTTATTGTGCCTTTAATTTGCATTTCCCTAATGACTAATGATATTGAACATCTCATGTGCTTATTAGTCATTCTTATATCTTTAGCGAAATGTCTATTTAAATCTTTCTTTTTTTAATTGGGTTGTTTGTCTTCTTACTATTGAATTGTAACAGTTCCTACATATTTTGAGTATCAGTCCTTTATCAGATACATGATTTGCAAATATATCGGCCAGTCTATGGCTTTTCATTTTCTTAATGGTCTTCTGAAGTGCGAAAATCTTTAATTTTGATGAAATCCATTTTATCCTTTTTTTTTTCTTTTATGGATTATGCTTTTGGTGTCATGTCCAAGAAATCTTTGCCAAACCCAAGGGCACAAAGATTTCTCCTCTATCTCCTTTTTATAGTTTTCATAGTTTTAGTTCTAACAATAAATGTCATTTGAACATGAAGTCTATTTGTAACAAATACAAATAAATGGAATTGTAGGGCCATAATGTATTTGCTCTTGTAATTTTATTAAAAATTGCCAAAGTGCACTTCATACAGGTTGGAACAATATATGCTCCCAATAACAATAAATGAGAGTGTCTCTTATTTCATACTCATTCCAACAGGGGATTATTAAACTTTTTTAACTTGCCGATCTGATAAGTTAAAAATGGTGTCTCAGTGTCATTTTAATTTGCATTTTTCTTATTAAAAATGGGAGTGAGAGGGGCTGGCCCTGTGGCCCAGTGGTTAAGTTCGTGCGCTCCGCTGCAGGCGGCCCAGTGTTTCGTTGGTTCAGGTCCTGGGCACGGACGTGGCACAGCTCATCAAGCCACGCTGAGGCGGCATCCCGCATGCCACAGCTGGAGAGACCCACAACGAAGAATATACAACTATGTGCCGGGGGCTTTGGGGAGAAAAAGGAAAACAATAAAATCTTTAAAAAAAAAAAAATGGGAGTGAGACACTTCTGTTTTTCCTTCTCATGAAATATAGGCTCACATCCTTTTATCTTTTTCTTATTGACTTGGAACAGCCCTTTACAAATTTGGGAAACTAGATCTTTTGTTTGTGATATTAGTTGCAAATATTTTTCCAAAGTTGTTATTTGTTTTTTCACTTTACTTGTAGTTGGTTTTCTATGCACAATTTACAAATATTTGCATATAGCAGAATCCACGGTCTTTTATGATTTCCAGGTTGTTTCATATTAAGAAAGATCTTCCCCCATTTTAAAACTATTCCTTTTAAAAAGGTCTCTCATGAATTCCTCCAGCATTTTTATGGTTTCATTTTACATATTTAAATCTTTGATCCATCTTGAATTAATTTTAGTGTAAAGGCCTAACATATTGACTAACTTTTAAGCCACAGAGCTACCCAGTTATTCCAGAACTATTTATTGAATGATCCATCTGTACCCATAGATTTTAAATGTTATGTTACCACTCCACTCTCACCAGATGGTAAGCTCCAGGAAGGAAAAGACTTGTAGTTTTTCACTGCTGTAGCTTCAGGAACTAGAACAATGCTGGAACATGATATGCACTGTAAGACTGACCAGCACTGTGTGTATGTTTGTGTGTGTTAAAACATACATGACATAAAGTTGACTATTTTAACTATTTTTAACTGTACTATTCAGTGGCATTAAATACATTCATAATGTTGTACAACAATCACCATTATCCATTTCCAGAATTTTTTCATCATCCTAAACAAACTTTGTACCCATTAAGCAATAACTCTCCATTCTTCCCTCCCCCCAGCCCTGGTAACCTCTGTTTTACTTTCTGTCTCTATGAATTTGCCTATTCTAGGTAGCACAAATAAGTGGAATGATAGAATATTTGTCCCTTTGTGTCCAGCTTGTTTCACTTACATAATGTTTTCAAGGTTCATCCATGTTGTAGCATGTATCAGAATTTCCTGCCTCTTTAAGGCTAAATAAAAGTTGATTGTATGCATATATCATATTTTGTTTACCCATTCATCTGTCTATGGACATTTTGGGTTGTTTCCACCTTTTGGCTATTGTGAATGTTGTTATGAACATTGGCATACAAGTATCTGTTTGAGGCCCTGCATTCAGTTCTTTTGGGTATGTACCCAAAGTAGAATTGCTGCATCATATGGTGATTCTATTTAATTTTTGGAGGAACCACCAAACTGTTTTCCCAAAGTGCTGCACTATTTTACATTCCCAGCAGCAATGCACAGGGCTTCCTTTATCTCCACATCCCCCGCCTCAATACTTATTCTCTGTTTTTTTTATAACAGCCTTCCAAATGGGTGGGAGGTGGTATTTCACTGTGGTTTTGACTCACATTTCCCTAATGATTAGTGATGTTGAGCATCTTTTCATGTGTTTATGGGCTATTGGTATATCTTCTTTGGAGCAACGTCTGTTCAAGTCTGTCGCCCATTTTTGAATCACGTTGTTTGGTTTTTTGTTGTTCACTTGTAAAAGTTCTTTATTCTGGATACTAATCCTTTACCAGATATTATTTACAAATATTTTCTCTTATTCTATGAATTGCCTTTTCACTGGCACTCTTAAAAAAGCATGCTGTTTTCACTGCCTTGTGTACCTCAAAGCAACCTTGTAAGATGTATATTGTCTCCACTTCACAGATAAGAAAACTGAAATTCAAAGACAGCATATTTTAGCACACTGCCTGGCACCTAGTAAGAGCTCAAAACTTTCCGTTATTGTTCTCTCTGTTACTGCTATTGTTGCTGCTTCATAGATAATAATCTATGAAGAGCAACAGAAGCCGCTTCAAAAAGGCCTAAGACCGGCGGGAAAAATAGGAAGTAGAAGCTAAGAAAAGCTTCGAGCACTGCCAAGGACCACGAAGTAACGTCTGCGATCCACACACCAGTTTTCCAAGAAGCGCCTCTTATCTCGCTGACCTTCAAACCGCCCACCCCCGGGCCTACCCCGACCAGCCCCGAACGTGATCACCAGGCCACTTCCTGCCACTTCCGCCCCGACCCGGCTAGTTTGCGCGTGCGCCATGGGAGTGCTTGCGCGCCTGCTCCCCGCGAGAGGCGACACACCCTATTTCCGGCGCCCAGATGAGATCCCACAAGGTCTGGCGCTTGGTGATGATGTAAGCTCCGGTTGCTGTGCTGAGTCGGAAGTGGGAACATTTCGGCCTCTGAGACTCAGTCGTGTCGTCGCTGTTGGCCCTTCAGGCTCTGGTAAGAGAGGAAATAGCTTGAGGGGAGGGGATCGTTGAGTCTGCAATGGGATTTTTTCTCCTAGTCGAATGCCAGTCCAGGCCTGTGCACTCTTACCTTCTCCAAATTCCTTCTGTGCTTTCCTGACCACTGACACTCTCCTTCGTGAACTTGAACGCTGTCTGATTTGGGAACCCCTTATGGTCCCCCAGCTTCTGGCATCTCTCCCCCTCTTTGCCATTCTTCTCCTGGAAAAGGTCGTAATACTGGCCTTGCGCTATCTTTGACTTCCTTTCTCTGGAACGTGCGCGGAGTGGGTGGGTCTCCCTTTTTGCCGGGATCCCTTATGGAATCTGGAGGGATAAAATATAAAGAGTAGACAACAGATAGCCAGATTCCAAAGAAAATAAAATTAAGCACGAGTTGCAGTAATCAAACCAGTTGAATACATATGGCAAGGTGTGGACATTTCTTAAGGCAAGCGCTCGACACTCTCCTGGCACTCTGCTTCATGCTCGCTCAGCGGTTGGGTCTAGAAAACACTTCTAAAATTGAGTAACCACAGTTCAGGAGCTAATATTTGACGTCTTCTCTTTGGGATCACTTTTTTGCTCCCAGAGCAAGGATTTGTTTAGTTTCACCACCGTGGACTGTTTTGGTCCCAAGTGAGAGCTTTCCTGAGATAAAATGGGACCCAGGAAGGAATGCTGTCTGCTTTTTGACTTGAGGAGATCCTTCTAGCTTGCTGATGTGTTGGAAGGTTCTGTTGCCACATTAGAGGGGCCTGAAAGGATTATTGGGTGGAACATACAACGGTGTAAAACTTTTTTTAACTCCTTTTTTGTTTTGATGTATGTATTTATTACTCACCAGGACAGAGACGTTAAGGAATATGATTTAAGAGAGCGTGGTTTTGACAATCCCAGTTTTACAAAGTATTCCAAATATTTCTGCTTAAAAGCAATGCCAAGTCTGATGTTAAAACATTTCTGTGCTCACCTCTTTAAGAGCTGACAGTGGCCCTTAAGAGATTAGCAGTACTGTTCATAAACAAGAGATTGAATCAGGAGAGATTGAGAGAACTTTGTAGGACTGGAGATAACAGCTATATAGATGTAGACCCTTGCAGCGAGTATATCAGAATGAAACTTGTTCTTAAGGAGGACATATTTAAAAAGAATCAGATCCAAAAGCTTCTAAGGATTGGTGGTTATACCATCCCAAAGACTGACAATAGGATGGTGCTGTATCTCTGTGTGACAGTTGAAAATGGGAGATTATAAATACCCAGTGACACTGTTGAATATTAAAGCAAAATAACAAGGTTCCATTTTATCAGACTTTTCTTTTGGAGTGGGTGATGTCTAAGTACTCTTTTTACATTTGTGAGACAATGAACAAATCTAAACTTGCATCTCCACGGAGGTTCCCATCAAGTGATCAGCCCTCCCTTTCCCTGTAAAACTTTTCTGCAAGTGGTTACACGGTGTTAACCCTTTTTCTGTGAAAATAGTTTGCACACAGATTTGAAGTACGTATGAAAAAGATGAACTTAATGAGGTAGACAACAACCTTTTTGTTTTTCAAAAAGACAGCAGAGATGACCGCAAAAATTTATTTCCATTCTCTATTCTGCATGTGCTGAGGTACCAAAAAGCCACAAGTGACTGGCCCAAGAGCATGACCTTCCACGGCAACCCGAGACAAATAGTAAAGCCCTTACCTTGAAGTAGGATTATGGATGCTGCTATCAATCGTAGGAGATCAAGAGTAATTACATATAAGATTGAATCATTCAATAAATATTTATTTGGGAATTTGTAATTGTGATGCATAATGCCAGACACAGAAGAAAAAATAATCAGATATGAACCTGTACTCATATTGCTTAGAGTCTAGCAAAATAGAAGACCTGCATTGGGAATACAATGTAGAAAGTTATAAATCCTATTACTATACATAGAATGTAGTGGGAAGGCAGTTTCTTTATATAACGTGACAGTGTAGTATTGACAAAGGAGGAAATAATGGCATTTGTGATGATAAATCCTCTTTATCTGTCTTGATAGCCTTAATAGCCTGTCTTCATCATATGTTCTATCTTCCTGGCTTTCAACTTACTTCCTTTCTGCGTAGATGGTACAGGTGATGCATCTCCTTTGTACTAATCTGAACTTTTTCAGTTGTGTTTTTAAAAACCCATTCAAATTGGCTTATGCAACATAGGGGAATCTGTTGGTTTAAGACGTTCTCTTTCCATCTCTCAACTCTGTGTTCCTATACATTGGCTTAGTTTTAGGCTAGGCCTTTTCTAGATGATGGAAAGATGGCACCTCCAGGTTTATATCTTACTAGCCTAGCAACCCAAGCAGGAAATAAAGAGTTCTCTTATTCAGCCAAAGGCCTGAGGCTGGTGTTGA